CTGCTATTCTGCACATGAAAGACGAGCAATTTTAGCTGTAAGTGGACGCCTGGCAACCACGCCGCTTCACGCGTCAGCAAGAAAAGCAACACCCCCCTCCCCCCACCAATCGTTCCATAACGCTCCCTTTAATGACCCCCCCCCCCACCCTCAGTTGCGTGATGTCAAAGATGCGAGGAAGTTCAGTCCGGGATGTGAGCGGAGCAACGGCATCGCTGACCTCATGCGCATCCCTACAATAGCCACAAAACGGAACGATACAGAGAGCCCCTTTTCCATCGCGCTCGTGGTTGTGTTCATGCTTGTTCCGGGCCAGTGTCCAGATTAGCAGCTGTTCTTTTTTTTTCCACCAGCGAAATTGGCTCTCGCTCCAATGCTTGAAACTGGCGCTTAATAAGCCGGCACAATTATTTCTTGGGCCAACTACGGCAGGGGGCAGGTGGGCGGGGTTATCATGACATGCGCAAATGTAGTGGAATGACTCCACGGACACATGGAAGTTGCGCACAAACGGTTGAGCGGTGAACTCCGGCACAATTGTTGTCCCACCGGAAGAGCCGTCGCGGAGTTGCCCAGATTGGGATGTTCGCTCCGACTCACGGCCAGACTCACGATCATCGACAATGATTCAGAAAGATAGAAGCGATTGCTGACTGTTATAGACTACATACGTGTAATCCACGCTATGCTAAATTGCCTAGCAGATGCTAATTATTATTTTTACTGATTAGGTGGTCCAGTGGTTACCGCGTTGACCTCACAGTGTAGAAGTACCGGGTTCAATTCCAGCTCCGGCCTCCCTGTGTGGAGTTTGCATGTTCTCCCCGGGCCCTGGGTTTTCTCCGGGTACTCCAGTTTCCTCCCACATTCGAAAAACATGCATGGTCCCCTCCACTTTTCACAACCGCAGACGCCGGGACCCGTCTCGGAATGATGATGAACTGTCATGTTTATTTTTGGGATGGAGAAAGAAAAACATTTCTTTCAGAAAAAAATAAAAAAATATATCTATGTATATTTTTTGTCATATTTTTACAAATGTCACTTTTTCACGCAAAGACAAATAATTTTATTTCAATTCTCAAGGACGATTGTTGTTCTTCAATTTCACATTTTTGCTAAAGCAAAGTGCACAGCACAGCAACCTGGTCAAAGGTGACCAGTTTGTCGGCAAAAGAGATCACAAGTCAGTCAGTTTGGGTGAGTGAACTTTTTCTTTAATTTGTATTTATTCATTTGTACAACAGATTTGACATTTTACACAAGCGAAGACGATGGCGGGAAGCCGAAGAAGAAGTAGAAGAAGACTTGCCATCTTTTCTCTTGCTCGTTGAAAACATGGGTGACGCCATCTTGAAACACTCAACCACCATGCGTCTTACCTTCTTCTCGTTAGCATTCGTATTAGGATACAGTGAAACTCCTCTACAACGAAATCATGTTTGCAGCAAGAAATTTTTCACAACAGGGGGTTTTTCACTGTAGCAAATTTGATCTCAGATGTAAGCACACACACACCCACACACACAAACGTATGTGTACACGCACACACAAACGTTTGTGTACTCTATTTTTATTCCAATAGTACATAAGTATGAGCACACACTTATTTGACACTTCATATTGTCAGTGAAGAAAGAAAAAAAGGGAAAGAAATTGCGAAATTTACGATCAGCATTCACTTTCACTTACATCAATTTCTTGGAAAATGTCTTTTATTTTGCTTGCTCCGTCTTTCATTTTGATCACTTTTACCCTCTCTTCCAGCATCAGAGCTCTTCTTGTCTTAGCTGCTTGACATCAAAAGGTCCGTTTTGTAGCCATTTTAGCAATGCAACGTCCATCCTCGTCTGAATCTAACAATAACAAATACTTCCTGGCATGCAATGAACTTTTAAGCCAGCCACGGGGCGCTTCGTAGTCCTCGATGGCCATAGTTAGCTCTCGAAGACTAAAAACCTTACGCTAACTGGAGCGCTAATGAGAGAGAAGCGCTCCAGTTAGCGTAATCGTTTATTTGAATGTCCGTCGAGCCACTGGAGCGCTAATGAGAGAGAAGCGCTCCAGTTAGCGTTAAGGTTTTTAGTCTTCGAGAGCTAACTATGGCCATCGAGGACTACGAAGCGTCCCGTGGGTGTTTTTAGCATGATAAAAAGTAATACATTACTTTTTATCATGCTAAATGTCCGTCGAGCCATGAGAAATTTACTCTGAGCAGCTAATCGGATGCTACGGATCTAGCTTCAGTATCTACACACATAGACAGTGAGGTCTATGTGGCCTCTTGGCCAATCGGAGGCCAGGATGATGCTCGGTAAGCCAATAGCAGAGCAGCTATGAGTATGTTGAGCCCAGGAAACTCGCAGCTGTGACCGAAATAAACATCGTTCACTATGTAAACCAGTGTGGTGGTTGCTGTTGCCTTTTTTCGAACGAAGCAGTAGAGGTCGCTGTTGGATAAGACTTCGTTGTAGTGAATGTCTTCGCGAGGCTGGAGCAGACAAAATGATTTCGTATAACGCAACAGGGGGTTTTTCGTCGTATGGGGGGCAGGAGAATGGGAATTGTGTTAATGCATGAAGATTTTTTCACATAAGGGGGTATTTTCGCCCATGCAGGTTTCGTTCTAGAGGAGTTTCACTGTATTATCGCTATTTTGAAAAACAAGTCGAGGCCTTCATTCATTTCAACGCGTCCAAAAACAGCAAATTAAACAATCGAAATGTAGAAAAATAAGATTTTTTTTTTGTCCTCAAAAAAGGAAAGTAAACATCGTCATATTTAAGCAACATCGTAAACAAATTTGCGTATATTGAAGTACAACAGGAGTTACACGGATATCCTCTCTTTTGTTTTGTTCACAAATGCGAATGGAGTAGTGTCGATATCGCATACAGAGCGGGAGAAAATATACATGACATACTGTATACTGTACGTACAAAACAAGAATCGTCAAAGTCAAAGTAGTTGACGAAACAATATGAAATCAGAGTTATGTGAGTCCCCCCCAAAAAAAACAAAAAACCGCTACGTTTACGTCGGCTGATTTACACATATGCGTTAGCAAACGCGTCTCCTTTCCGAACCAGCTTTTCGAGTGTCTCTGGGTACGATGTTTTGGCTTTCTCAGCACGTTGTCATCAAGTTGTGCCGTACAGATGATAGCAAGATGCTAAAGCTCGCGTGGCTAGCCGGCTTGTTTTTCCACACCCAATTGTGAATCGTTGCGTCGAGGCAAAAAACAAAACAAAACGCATTGGCGTGATTCCAGTCGCGCGACTCTTGTTGCCGTATTTACGATCACAACGGCAAGAATAACTATCTCTGCTACAAAAAAAAAAAAAAAAGTTTCTCACTTTGTCCTTTGTCATAGCTTAGCTTAGCGGCAGGTCCAGGAGTAATTGAAATGGCCAGCTGACCAGAAACATTCAGTGGGCGGATAATGTTGATGTTCTTTCAAAAGGATTAAGAGTATTCTTTTTGGTGTGGATGTTTCCTGCACCCCAGCAACTAAAAATTAGATTTCATGGCTACCAGTTGGTGCTATCTTTGGAAACCACGGCAGCTGAAGTCATGAGGCTAATGTGCTATTGTCGCTAGAACGCAAAGTCTAATGGGTGAGGTGGAGGGATTGATCTTTTTCAGAAGAAAAAAAAAAAATCAAAAAAAGGAGTAAAAACCTGAATTTTTGAAATGGGGTTTGAAACTCGAGTTGGGGTTTTAAATTAGGGTTTTACTCCAGGTAAGTAAAATTAGGGCTTTAATGTGCTGTTTAAAACGAGGGTTAGGGATTCAAATGAGGGTTTTTAAATATGATTCGGGTTTCAAATTGGGGTTTTAAACACCGTTTGGGTTTTTAAATTGAGGTACTCAAGTCGGGCATCAAAGTAGGGTGAGGGTTAGGGTTTTAAATTTGGGTTCCAGTTTCAAATTGGGGTTTCTAGGTCAGGTTTTAAACTGGGGTTCCAGTTTCAAGGTGGAGTTAGGTAGGATTTTTCAATGTATTATTCGATTCATACATTTTTCATTTGGTTTTGAGTTTTTAAATTGGGTTCTCTCAAATGAAAAAAATGTTTGAGTTTGTCATTCACATTTTTGTTTTCATTTTTGTCCTGTGGTTTCTTCTTCTGGGTCACCGTTATTTAGGCATCACCATAGGTTTTTTTTTTTCTTTTTTTAATTTCACCTTGAACATTACATCTTACTTTTTTATTTGCGTGTACCAAAGGTCGACTTGCACGTGAACTGGCTTTTCTTCGCACACATTAGCTTGGTCGTCCTCCCGTCGGCACGCAAAGTGAAGCGAGCGGGCGCTGCGGTAAACGGAGCCGACGGACGGGAGCCCTACTCGATGCTTACGACGCTGCAATGAATTCATCCGCTTTGACGGCGCACTGCTGCATCAAAAGGTTGTTTTGATTAACGCTAAATGCCACAGCAGAAAAGCTCAGCGCTTGTGCACGTGCGCGCGCTTGTGCCTGTGCGCGGTAGCGTCAGCTAATGAAGCTGCGAGCTAACGGGCGGGTCATCTGTGGCGAGGCGCTACGAAATGTCATCGATGGTACACTGTGACATTTGCCGTGAACTTTGCGAGGCCTGGCCGCCTCGGCCGCCTGGAAGGATGTCCGCGTAGAGGGCGGAGCCATCGCGGGTCATGTGACACCTTGGCTTGATGAGCACATTTGACTTCAAAAAGGTTTTGCTGAGCTCGAAATAACCACGCGCGCATGTCAAAGAGAAGCCGGCTGGGGTCGCGCTAGCTGGCGAAAAAAAAAAAAAAGCCACGGCTAATTTGGTGCTCATTTTCATATCGAGTAATTTGATCAATAACGGCAAATGAAATAACCCCCGCGAGCTGTTTTTAGCGTTGATGCAAGTGGAGGCAGTATCATGACGTTGTTGCAAAGCACCAGAGGGATCTGCCAGCTCCAATGCCAGCATGTGGCATCCAACAGGAAAATATTCGATCATATCGTCTTTTTTTTTGACTTGTAATGCGGTCAAGAAACACCCATCAAGTTGAATGAATGAAGGCAACTCACCACGCAGAAGACGCTGTCAGCGCTGGAGTTGGACTTCAACTTCTGAGCCTGCTCAAGAAAAAAAAAAAAAATAGTCAGCAGTTGCGACACTTCCTGCGTGCGCTCACACTTCCTGTTTATCATCACGCTATAGCGAGCTAGTTTTTAATGTTGTTCATTTCTTGTTTCGATGGGTCTGATTTGTAAGTGATGTCCGGCACTTTGCGATCGGCTAGCAACCGGAAAAGTAATAAAAAAGAAATCAAAGTCCGCTGTGACGTTGAAGATTTCGGACGACAAATGTTGATTCCGAGTTTTCTGCAAAACTGATTTGCCGAGTTTTCGGCATCTTCGCATTCGCGTTTTGATGGCGTGACGGCGAGGCTGCTCTTGTGACGCCACATCGAGAAGAAATGATTTTGACTCTGCTGCTTGTGCGACCGACCGTGAAGGTGGCTGAGAAGCGGCCTAAGAAACGTGTGCGCGCTTGACCCTTCGAAGCAAACGTGAAGTCGGAATGCGGAGAATGTAAAGCACACCGAGCAACCTTCACGTGGCTTATTTCCAATTCAAAGAAGGGAACAAACAAAGAGGACACGTTTTCCCGCCCTGCGTCCGCACGCGTCGGCTCGCTCCAATACCTGGATGAACCCAAAAGTCACATTAGCATGCGGCGCATTTCCATACGGAGCGCGACGCCGAGCCCACGGGCAACGTCTGCGTATGCGCGTGCGCCTTTTCGACGTGGAGGAAGTTGGACGGCTTTTTCCTTCCGTTTGTATTGTGGTCAGACTGCGCGATCAAAGACGACTTTTTTTTTTTTTTTTTAGAGGACGTCAAAACGAGGGGTTAAAAAACAAACAAACTCGGAATTAACGTGTTGGGTATCACGGCAAATACAACAAAACCCGGAAAAGTAAAAGAAAAAAAAAAGCTCAAACTGCTTTTCGATGACATCATTATCGTGTGAAATGGATGAAACGCGGAAATGTGAGGTTCCGTTTTCAGGCCGTATCGTTTAGCTGTTGTGCTATCGCGTGTCACCGCTAACGACACGGACATCACTGACAGACTTCCTGCCCGCGGGCACGATTGCCGCTAGCCGCGGCTCCGTTTCATCAGCTGCGCCAGCTCAATTCCCGCTGGTGGGAACGCCGCAACTCCACAAGCTCCACACACCAGGACGGACGGACGGGCGGACGGGCACCTGCAGACTCCCGCAGAAGTGGTATATTCCGGAGTCGCCGTTGATGTGGTTGTCCACGTTGTTGTTGCGGTTGCGTTGGTGCGGCGACGTCACGGTGGTGGTGGTGGTGGTGGTGGTGGTGACCTGGGCGGGAGACATGGGCGGCCACACGCCCATGTCCGTGCCGTTCCCGAAGGCCTGGATGGCGTTGCCTGCCGATGCACGTGCACACACGCAGGTTAGAGCCATTTTGCAGTCTCAAAATAGCAGACTGAGCTCGCGTGTCACTTTGCCAACGTGTCCGAACATATTCCAATCTTGACCCTAAAAACACAACCAAAAGCATGAAAAATGCCCCAAACAATTCCGTAGCGGCGGCTCTCTTCCAAGACGCTATTTTTCCGTAACCGAGCGGCGTGACTTCAAACGTTTATCCGCGCGTCAATCAGGACCTCGTTTGGGTCGTCCCCCGTTGAGGAAATAAAAGTTGATGGCGTGCAGGCTGAAGGCTCAATTAAACGGTTCCCACCTGCGTCTGCGAGCGGTTCAGCTCACAGTCACGCTGGCATCGGCGGCGATTCAAAAGCTTCCGACCGTGAACTCCACACGCAAGCGCGGCGATCGGCACACTTCCCACTGCTGCTCTTTCACACATTTGGAAAGCCGTCTGACAAGTCATCCACAACTCGTGCCACTTTTGGCCCACGTGTACACAAAGGCACCGAGCCGGTCCACTCCTGTGCTGCTCTTGTAACACGATGAGACCTAAATAGTCCGCGTGTGTCACACATTGGGGGCTTCCTGGACCCTACTAGGACCACCACAATGCCCACGAGATGGATTGGAATGATACCATCCATCCATTGGAACTCAGGGGGCCTGCTGAAGCCTATCCCGGTTGTCTTCGACAGCCCACAGAAAACCAACATAGACACGCTAACTCTACACAAGTCGGCCCGAGCCTGGATTTCAAACCCATGACCTAAGCGGTCGACCGCCGTGCCGCCCGTCACCATACGATGTCAGTCTAAACTTTTGAAGCGCAATTCTGTCGTCAGCAGACCAACTGGGTGTCTTGTGACTTCTTTCGCCGCCGATGGCCATCTGACCGCAGTGAGCCAAACTTTGGCTACGGCTAATGCTAAGGCTAAGGTTCGATTCGACACGCAACAAGCTGACGAATTGACGTTAGCTCAACCGTTTGCGCCCGGAGTCACATGGAAAGCTTACATTGACATTCATCACAAGTCTGGGTAAAAAAAAAAAAAAAAAAAAAAATGTGTGTTTGTGTGTGTCCACCTTTTCACTTTTGCTGTCTATTTTTCTCAATTTTCCTTCTATTTGCTCCACGCAAATGATTGTCTCCATTTAAACCAAATTCAAAAACTCCCGTCTTATGTTGCCTGCGGCCCCCCGCGGATAAAAACGGTCCCGATTATCCAAAGCGCATTGTCACGCGCGTCGCGTCGAGACGAGACGGCGTCGGCCCGTTTGTCGCTCGGGTTGACTCACGCAGGCAGCCGTTGTCTGCGAAGAAGGTGACCAGCTTGTCGCACTCGTCTCTGTCGTTGCCGCTGTTGCTGCAGTCGCAGTACGGCGACACGCTGATCTTGGGCGAGCGAAGGTAGTTGGGGGTCATCACCGTACCTGCGGACGCAATCGACAATGTTTATCGCATCAAATGGGGAGATGAATCCAGATGCGGGCGTGGTCACGGAACAAATTCTGAAATTTAGCTCAAGGCACCACCGAACGGTGTTTTGCCTGGCAAGGGAGCGGTTTCCTGGCCAAAAGCCATTTTTGTGACAATTTGAGGAATTTGGGGGCAAAATTCAACTTGTGGTCCACTATTTCCCCGCCCCGCATGCGCTTTGTGGCCCCAAGGTGACATTTTTCTGGCAAAGAAACTCAAGCAAGCATGCGCACGGGGCACCGAAAAGGGATTCTTCCCGCCTAAAAATTGGGAAATGTTGTCATCTTTTTGGCTCAAAACACCAGCACGTGGATTTGAAGTCAAGCTTTTCCATCCACACCAATGAACACCAAATGCCAACCGTGTGCTTTCCCACTATGAAGGGAGCAAAAAGCAACGCGTGTAAGGCTGCCGATAGGACGGCAAACAAAAGCCGCAGGGTGAACTATTTCAGGTCCATACGATGATCCGCTCGTATTCGGCCAAAGGCTTCGGAACTCAGTGGACGGACGGCGCTTCACGGCGCCGACCATCACTGACCCGAAGCGCCCGGCCAAAGCAATCAAAGAACTTCTGAAGCTGCCAAAGAAACAGAATGTGATGCGAGGGCCAAGTCAATCGCCTGACCTGCATCCCGATGAGCTGACAAAAGCAAAGGGGGGGTGGTGGGGGGGCAAAAAACAGCAGCGGGCGAAGGTTTCGACGATGTCAGCAGACATCGTCGAAACCTTCCGCACGTCAGGCCGCAGATGCCCGACTGCGGCGGGAAACACACAAACCTCTCCAACGTGTCTTAAAAAGACGGACGCTGAACATGAAGGTTGATCGGAAGCGTTTGCTCATGTCGGAGATTGAAGACTCCCTCGCAAGTCTCGAGGCACTTGGACAACTCCGTGTGTGTGCTTTGGTGATGAATAACAGCGGCGTTCGTGCAGTGATACTGTCAGAGTGCGTGAGCAGGAAGTGGAGGGCGGAGTAAGAGTGAAGAGGCGAGTAAATTGCTTCAGCCGGTGATTCTTCACTCCCCCGAAAGGCGGCTCCCTGGCACTGGCCTCGCTCCAGAACCTTGAGCCTTTTGTTTTCGGGGACGGGGGTGCGGGGAGGGGCAACGCGAGGACATTGTGAGACTGTGCACTTGTTTGCCAGATGCGGGTGGTGAGCGAGGGGCTAATGAGGGGCTCCATGAGGAGCATGTGCGCGCGTGTGTGGCGACGAGTTCGCAAACTTGAGCGGACTTTTCTCCGCTGACTCTGACTTCCATTTAAAGGGGACATGCAGCGCGACCGTCATTTACGAGTTGAATTCGTTCCAAGCTCGCAAATCAATTTGCTTGCTTATCCAAATCAATGTTCCTCATTGAAATGAACTGAAATGGCATCAATCCGTTCCAGACCCCTCCCCGAAAAACACACCGACTCATAAACTGGGGTTAGTTCACGGCCGCACGGCCAACAACAACAATTCTTGCAGTTTGCGGCTAACGTGCTAACGCTCAAGAACCATTTTCATACAGTTACATGACTACCCCACTGAGGTTCACTTTGAGCATCAATTCATTTGACTGATATGAATATTCGAATTCTTGGTGGTTTCTATCATACAAAAAGTAATAACTGAGTCAGTGTCAACTCACCGATGAGGCCCGAGTAGGCCAGCAAACAGTCTGCGTAGTTTTCCTTCAGGCAGCCCGACCGCGAGCGCGGTTCCGACTGGCAGTTGGCGAAGAAGTCGGCCAGACGCGACCTGAAACGTGGCCAAAAATGATGAGCGGGCCATTTGGCTTGCTGGGTTCTTTTCAATGCAATTGCTACCAGCTAGCGAGCAATCCTCAAAACCCAACACATTTTTTTCAGGAAAAATACAAAAAAATATATATATATAATGGCTTTATCCAAAATATCAACTAAGAGCAATATTGCGGTCGAACGCCGCACACCCGTTGTCAGCGGTGTTCCGTCCGACGGTCGCATTCGGCCATCTTACAAATGGTTGACATACGGCGAGGGAGGCGGAGGCGAAACGGCGGACTTCAATTCATCTCTCCGCCACCTGACAAATGGACCGGCGAGCGCGTGATAGCACCGGAGCAAGACGGGGGTCTAACGCGACTTCACAATGGGTTGCGGACTCGGTCTGTGCGCGTGCGCGTGCGCGTGTGAGCTAATGCGGCCTCGGTTCCAAATGGAACTCATTTATGATGCTTCAATTTAATTCTGGTGAGCCACAAGCTGCACGCTGCAAGCTCTGATGACTGTGCGCACGCACACACACGGAGGAATGCAGGTGGTGATGTCATCTGCCCATCACTGAATTAGCGCAGCGTCATCAGCATGAGCGCGTTTCCGTCGGCTGCCTGAGGTCAGGGAGGTCGCCAACAACAATGTGAGGTCACCCACGTACACCCGATCAAGCTGCGCCGCGGATTTGTGGATCGATCAAAAAGTTACTTGCCCAAATTTGTTGCATGAAAATGTCGTATTTATGAAATGAGTTGATGCTTTGTGTCATACGTGAATTAATCCAATGACCAATTTGACGTTCAGCTCATTCTTTGGATTACATATTGTTGCTTATTCGAACGGAATTCATTGTCAAGGGTACACGACCATTTTCCATCATTGTTTCGTATTTAGTCTTGTACTTCTGAGAACAAATGACTTGACTTAATTTGGGGTAAAAAAAGATTTTCATTCAACAGATTTGAGTCAGGAAAGCTCCGACGGGGACTGGAGCTGGCGTCAAATGGCAAAAGCATTTTGCGGCGGCACCTGCAGATGTAGTTGGTCCTGCACGAGGCCTGCAGCTCCAGGCAGTTGGGCTTTTGTTTCTCCTCGTACGAGCAGACGGGCACGATGGTCTGACGCCGGCGTTCCGAGCACGCCGTCTGGTCGCTGAGCGGACACGAGCAGAACAGCATCCCGTAGCTGTGCTTGGGAGGAACCTGGCGCAAACCAAATGGACGACAACCATCAAAAAGAGAAGTCGCCGATTCTCCTCGATGCCTTCAGAAACCACCACGTCGAAATGCGAACGTGCTGGAATACTAAAAGCAAATCTCACGGAAGGCCGTTTACAATCGCGTGTTGAGATGAAGGTGACGACTCGCAGCCTCAATGTGCCGATGGATGCCGTGCGTTGAGGTTCGCAAAAAAATTTACATTGGAACGGAGCAGTGTAAAAGTCCCTTTTTTTCAATTCTAGTCGACCGCGAGAAACGACGTGTCCGGTAAAGTCCCGACAGGTGAGCGATCTACGGTGTGTTGCGTTACCTTGTCAAAGAACTGGCGGAGGGCCTTGTGGCACTTCCTCTTGTTGCAAACTTCGGCGGTGGAGACGCGGCTGGGGCACGGGCTGATGTAGGCCGAGCGGTACTTCTTGCACGTGTCGTTCAGGTTGCAGGCCTTGGCCGCGTTCAAGCAGTTGTTCTCCCGAGCCACCGCCGGCTCGCCTGCCGACCGATGGGAGGAGACGGAACAAGTCAGGACGCAGTCGGAATTCGACATCGGTGCCGTCGTGGGCCTCAAGACCATTGCCTGATTAAAAAAAAAAAAAAAACGGAACCTTCAATTTATTTCAACGAATCAGAAAAGACCCGATGAATGTCAGCCATCGCCATGTTTTTCTCCAATTGAACAACCTCGGCTACACCGGCCGGCGAATTTCCTGCTCTGAAGCCACAAACTCGAACCTGGGTTCCATCAAAGCCAACGGCTTCAGTGAGTTGGTCTCAGGGGGTTCAGCGGAGGCCAAGACGCTCCCCGCGTCCCCGCGCGTGCGGTGTCCGTTGCGTTCGTTTCATCTCGCGCGTACGTCAGCCCGCGCTAATTCGCCGTGATCGGCCTCTAACGACCGTTTGCGCGGTCGTGCCGCCGCGGTGCTGAAAATGGAGCAAAAAGAGGCTTTTCCGTCTAATCAAGCGGCGCCAATTAAGCCGAGGGGGAGGTGCCTGCGCGGCAAACATCTGCGAGCGGGCGGCCCATGAACTGAATTCCAAAGTGTGCTAATGAGACGCGATACTTCAAACGGGCCAATGGAGACCAGAAGTAGTCCAAGCGGGAGGGGGTACGCCGCGGGGGGGCGGGGTGGGCGTGGGGTATCGAGGTCGACGACGGGGTGACGATGTATTCATTAAAAACAGATCGTCAGGCAGGAGAAAAGAGGTCAGCGAGGCTGCGAGGAAAACATGAAAGCGGCGATTGTTGACACGTGGTGGCCGTGGACGACATGGCCGCCTCCCTTCCGTGTTGCAAAGGGCAAATCGTGGCCGCGATCGCAATCTCTCCTACTGTGGGGCGATGACGGGGAAGACGTGGTGGCCGTGGACGACATGGCCGCCTCCCTTCGTGTTGAAAAGGCGGAATCGTGCCCGTGATCGCAATCTCTCCTACTGTGGGGCGATGACGGGGAAAGGTGAGCGATCGAACGCTCGCAATCTCTCCTACTGTGGGGCGATGACGGGGAAGGTGAGCGATCGGAGAGACTGTTGGGGGAGCATCAAAGCTGCTGCAAACATTTCTGCGAAGGAATTGCTTCTCTCGCGCTCCGATCAAAACACGAGAAGAACGAGACGTGACGACAACCTTTCGTATTCTAATGGAAAGAACGGCAGGAATTTTGAGCCTCCATTGTGTGCTGATGAGCCAGTCTCAAGTTCCGGCTGTGTCCAACGTCTGACGACAATCTCCCATCTACCTCGAAAAAAACAACCAAGAAGGTCTCCATTTCGCACCAAAAAAGGACTTTCAAGTGCAACTTTTCCGACGAGGCTTTCAGGTCAACCGCCTCCAAGTTCCCAAAAAGAAGAAAACATTTAACTAGGGGGAGGCCGCCTCCTCCTCGTCTTCATCGGTCCCTGCGGACCGGCACGTCCGAACCTCGACGACGTGACGAGACGCAATTTGGCAGCGGGCGGCTCCTGGGAGAGAGCTCGCTGTCTTGATGTGGGCGCAGGGGGGGAGGAAACCGCCGTCCCAATGCGGCTTGTTTGGCAAGAAACAATCAATAGTCCATCTGCACTTTTCCACCGCTGCAGCGCCCCCCACCCCCTGCAGAATGAGACCCCCGCTAAGGGCGCGCCGGTCAAGTGAGGGGAAGGCTTTTGCTTCCGCTGACAGTGATTCTTCTTCATTCAGAAGACCCAAAAGCCACACGCGCGACGGACTGGCTGAATTTTCTTCTTTTGTTGGAATTTGTCATTTTTGTTGTCGTTGTGCGCCGCTTCCACGAACAACATGGCCGCCAACAAGGAACACAGTCAGTGATTCTAAATTTTGCAATCTCGTCATTATTTTTGAAAACAGGGGAAAAAAACACACAACTGGAATGTCTTCTAATGAACAGCCAACATGAGCAGAATTCTTTTCACATGCAGTCACCCTTCATTTATCGCACGCAAAGTGCTGCGCATTCAGGAAAAATTGTCGGGTTGCATGAGATTTCGTGTGCACACTTTGTCGTCGCCATCGGCCGATGCCGTCTATGCAAATGAGGTGCAGGTGTCGTTTTTGTCCACACGCCGACAGTCGAGTGACACGGCAGCGACCGTACGGGAACGTATCATGACTCGGCTCTTTGCTCGCTCGAGCATTAGCCAGCGCGGCGTGTGCGCGGCGACGGTGTGCTCAGCATGCTTTGGATTCTTTTGTTTGATGAAGCGAGCGGAAACCGCGGCGGCGCCTCTTTCGTTCCTCCCCCAATGTTAGGGATGACAAATCATCGCATCTCGCGGCGCTAGGCTAAATTCAATGAGCTAACGGCATTTACGGGGGGACGTGCAGTTGAGGAACTGGACTGTACTGGACGGTATCGTTTCAAAATCCACAATGCACTTCACCCGTAAGAATGAACGCGCGATATCGCCTGAGGCGATTGTGTAGCTTGTGTTCCGATGCTTTTCGAGGGGGGCGGTGGGGGGACACGTGAGGAGTGGAATTAGGACCCGAAAGCAGAAGTTGAAACGACCCTTTCACGCACCCTATAACCCGAAAACACGATCAGCTGTCCACTGTTAGCAACCGCTGTCTCTGAAAAGGTTAACGACAAAAATACAAAGTAACTACAGAGAGCAGGCCTGGAGGCAGAAAACATGGAAAGAGCTGCGACTCTGCAAGGAAGCCCGACGTACTGACATCTCACTGAGTAATCCGAGCGGATATACTGCGAGGCATCCAGCCTGCGTGGCAGAATCAAGTTACAAAGCATAAAACAGGAACAGTCACAGCACATTTCATTCCTTGTGTCTGTCAGGTGTGGTGTACAGTCCTTCGGTGGAAGTCGTGTTGGGGTAAAGAAACAAACAACTTGCCATCAGAAGATATCGAGCAAATCCCAGAAGAAAGAAAACCAAATGAGCGACATTTGTTTTGAATAATGCAGTCGTCATTCGCTTTTAATTTTATTGTCGGGGACATAAAATGATTCAGATTGGAATTGGATTTGTGTTTTTGGTTGGGGAGGAGGGCGGGGGTGACGTTGAGCAGACGCGCTAATAAAACATGTTTTCATTGGTGCTTCGGGTGCACGGCGGCGGAAGCGCGGGATGACGGTGTCGATGACAACAGCGCCCCCTTGGGTCAGGACAGATGCGATGAACTGCAGGCAGATGGCAGCACGCACGCACGCAGACAGAGAGGGTCAGGGTGGGGGCCATCTGGATGCCTGGTCGGGGGAGCCAGGACCCCCCCCAGTGGCTCACGTTTCCGATGCAGCCACAAATTGATTATCGCATCTCCTGTTTCCTCCGGTTCCGACGCGAACAAACTCCCCACCCCCAAAACTGAACCCCTCGACCCCCCCTGTCCCTCCCCACTCCCGCCACCCTAATTGCAATTAGCCTGGGACATTGCCGGCAGGAATGCTGACTTCCACCATAACGACATTCGGCTGAAAATTCTTCTTGCATCCTGCAGCGACGCTTTCTGATTGAGCCCCCGTGACCTCACTTGCGCTGTGTGTGTCATCGTTAACCTTGTGGTCAGATGCAAAAACACTTACCAAAGGCACAGGGGAAAAACAAAATCCAAAACACAAAGTCCTGAAAAACCCATTAGCCCCCCCCCAACAAAAAAAACATGCCAGTAGCACAAGGAGAAACCTGAAAGAACTCATGACATGATGACCAAGAGGTGCGCCGCTGAGGGAGAAGCCCTTTACTGCCACCTGTTGGTCACAAACAGAACAAAACCGTGACAATTTTGGTCCGAAACAGTCCGAAATTTGCTGATTGCTGGAAAATGCTCACCCTTGTTAATATGCTTCTTCCAAAACAAAATAACGAAACACAACACAAAATTGTCTTAGCGGCTAAAGCGCTCCTTTTCTTGCTTTTTCGTCACTTAAGATGTCTGTACAGTTCAGTTACAGGGGCGGAAGCAGCGGAGGGATGTGTAATGTCGTGTGCCAGAATGTGGTAAGCAGCAACAGATGATTCAAAATCAAAGTCGCGAGCACAATATGGCTGAGTGTAACCTCGTGAAAAGAAACAGTCCGAAATTTGCTGATTGCTGGAAAATGCAACAACAGATGATTCAAAGTCAAAGTCGCGAGCAGAATATGGCTGAGTGTAACCTCGTGAAAGTACCGATTCTTCATCGTAGAACCCACCAAAATGAGTGATGTCAATGTGGCATTCCGCCCAAACTTTGGGTGAGAGCCGCCGAAACTTCTCTCACTTCCGATGTGTTGACATTTGCCGCCTAATCCTTCTCGTCCGCTCAAAATCTGTGCCGATCTCCGGCTCAAAGCAACGGCGCCATCTACGGCGATCTGTTAGTCACGACAGCGGCATTTCTCCATTGAGAGAAATGACGATGCGGAGGACGAGGAAGATGAGGATGAAGGCTGGCGGCTCTTTTCCTTCTTTCAAAAAAGAAGAAGAGCACAAAAAACATCTCCGGATGCGCTCAGGGGTCCCGACTTTTGTGTGTGGTTCAATAACAAGCGTCCCAGCGCAATAAAGTGGCGGCGGCGGCGGCAAATGGCACAAGTCCCATTTGCTGTAATTGATCCCTGCGGTGTTACCAATCCACGCAAGTTTCTGCTCTTCTGCTGGCACTTTATTGAGCTTCGGCACCTCGCCACAATAAAAGACAAAATCACACCGAGGATTCGCTGACGCTCTTCGAGCCTCGCTGGCCGCTTGACCATCAGAGACCCGTGTGGAAACGACAAGAAATAAACAGCCGGCTTTGAGATTTCAAGCCTTCTCGGAAACCCGAATATGATTTGGAAACGGACTTTGAAACCCCAATCCTGCCCTGAAACTCAAAAATCGGAACCCTAATCCTGCCTTCAGACTCCAATTTGAACCCTATGCTTTGAAACACAACTTTGAAACCCTTTTTTTCAACAAATTACGCCAAGGAAATGGGAGAAGTGTGCTAGTGTGATGCAAGTAAACAGAAAAGTCCATTTTTCTTCAAATGATAAGCTTTGCGATTGCTCGTGAGT